CAAGCAAAATTGCTGTAACCACACCTCCAGAACCCAACCGACTCATTTATGCTTTAAATAACTACCTGTACAGGCTTGCATCTATCTTGTAGTCCAATACAAACCGCACAATATTTACTGACACTGAGCGGTGAAAATATAACACTGTGCAGACAGCAAATTCTACTGCAGTAGAATTCACTATTTGATATAGGCCTAACACTAACATTCCTGACAATAGATCTCAATAGTCATCTTTTATGGTGTACATGCCTTTTTAATAACATTTTTGAATGGAACATTCATAAATCTAAATAAATCTAAGTTAAATATACATGACCTCTTCAATTAAAATAAAGTGAACATTAACACCAATATTATCATTTATAAAATGCTATAACAAAAAAATAACATAAGCAGCAGATTTTTGTATTAAATATACATACCAACTACAAAATAAGCGGGTATTAAAGTGTAAATGGACAACAAAACGAAAATGGAAATGAAAAGGCCTGATGGTGGTGCTAAATCAGAGCCTATTACCTGTTCTTAGTCTTTTTCTCATCATGCCATCTGCCATATCGTTACCATAGCCTTGCCCTTTCACAGTTATTACGAGCCCTGGCTCAGCCTTACTCACCAAGAGCACAGCGCCTAGCCTTCTTACAGGCAAAGTCACTGATCAAGTCCTTGAAGTCCAGCTTTCTAGCCAACTGGCTTTCAATGGACAACATGCATGGCAAGACTGCAAAGCATTATGGGGGGACAGGGCTGCAGAGCCTAAAGATGGATCTGTTGGTCCTGGCACCAGGGGGAGGGACAACTGATTTAGTATGAATAGCTGCTAAAAATGTACCTGCATTTATTAAATGTCAGCTAAAAGAGGAGTGAAATGAAAAACCTCTGCATTTTCTGTGAAGATATTAACAGTACTTAATGTCAGCAAAACATTACAATTATTATTTACAATGGACTAAGCTTAGCTAACAGACTAATTTCCACCACTCATGGACCACACCTACCTTTTCTTTTGGAAAAACTGGGTGACATAGTGTCGCCCTTTAGTCCCTCTCTCTTGTCTTTCTCTCCTTTCTTTTCTTTTTTGAAAGCCTGACTTTGTTAGTCGTTGAGACATCGTACACACGTAACTAGGGATGGGAACGATTAATCAAATATTCGAATATTCGAAATTATTCAGGTATTCGAATATGAGTTATGAATATTTGTATTGTAATTTTTTTGTTGTTGGGAAGGGTGCCTAAATTGATTACTTATGATCAAATAGAATAATTCAATGTATACGACAGTGCCATAGCTAAGTGTGTTAGGTCTAAAGGTGTGTTTTGCTCCGCTCACCGGTCCCTCACAGCGGGCAGAGCTGCAGGTGCTGATCTCTCTCTCTCGCGTCCGGTTATACTTCACTCGCGTTTATGTCCAAATCCATCAGAAAACCAAGTTATGTTTTAAGCATGAAAGCTGTAGGCATAGCTGTCAACTGTTCAAACTGTGATCACCAGTTCAATACATTTTTACAAATTCGACTTGGTTTCTATACTTATTTGAACATGTATTTATTTATTTTTCAAAATTAATTAATTTTCCTTTTTTTTATAGGATATATACTTTTCGGTTAATCGGTTAACCTTTTTTTGGGGGTCGAATATTCGAATATACATTTCCTTTCAAATTCCCATCCCTAGTAAGTACTAGCATCCCTCCTCACATGCTCTCACTCTCTGCTGCTAGAAAGAGCGGTGCCGCACAGCGTTTGGAGGCAGGGCCAAACCATTACATGTAAATAGAGGGGGGTGTACAGAGGCTTTGGATAATTAACTTTTGGAAGAAAAAAAGTTAAATGAATCGTAGGTTTAGTGAGTACATTATCAATTTAACGTTATATTAATGTTAATTATTGATGATTGATGAAAGGTTACTTAAACATTTTTTATTAATGTTCTAAAAATGTTTGGGGCCCCTGTCAGTCACGGGCCCTTAGAATCGTCCTAACTTTTCACCCCCTTATGGCACCCCTGTGCACAGGTACGGGCTATTGTTGCCCGGGCAACGGCCCGTTTCCCCTTTTTGGCTGACCTGCCCCTCTGGAGAGAGCGAGAGTTTTTTTTTTTCTTTCTGTTGTGGTCGAATCACCATGATAAGCCCACAATTAGTATTGTAGTGTCTCGCTGCGGGAAACACACCAGCTTCATTTTTCTTCTACTACTTCTTCTTCTTCTTCTCCTTCTTCTTACATGTAATTGCCCACATGGTAAACTCCCTCGATGGGGCCGCTCGCTCTCTTCTCTTGATCGCCCTCTCTCAGAGAACACTTCACTGCCCCGCTTCATTGTAGGATTTCTGCCATGTCTCTACTTTAATTTGACCATCTTTGTTATTAAGTTATGGAATACTAAATAAATAAGTAATTAGATACCTTACACATTACTGCGCTCATAAAGAATGATAAGAATAATGCGTATTGAACTGGTTTAATTAATTAGTGAGTTTATTCAAGGTAATTATAGAAGCCCTATTTTGTCAGTATGTCTGCAATGGTCAAACTACATTGATTGTCCCCATTTTTTCTTTGGTAGTTTCTAACATTAGATATGGACCGCAAAACAAAACATGTCCCTGGTTTTCATTTTAAAAATCAAGTCACCGAATGCAAGTAGTTGCCTTAGCTTATTTTGTTATGAGATGATGATGTGAATTACTGTTCAAATTAGTTAATGTAATAATCGTTTTGGTCTTATATTTTTTTTCGGGGGGAGGCCCTTTTTCCAGTTTAGAGCAATAGCCCCTCCAAATGTCTGTGCACGTCCCTGGTGGACAAAGTGTAGACTCGTTAACCATGGTTCCTCACCATCTGTAGTTCATTCAGTATGTATCCCAACGTTCCCTCACCTGTCTGCCAAAATAATGCACAATACCAGTGAAGTGCACACCATACTTTATCATGCAATGTGGGAAATACCTTCTGGAGAAGTACCCTACTACTCGTATATCCTTTACTTGGCTAATAGCCTACAGCAGAAGTAACACAACAGCAAACTACAAAATACTTTAGCTTCACAATTTAATTAATGTAAAATATGTTATAACAAATATGTAAGCCTGTCGAAATGTGTCTTAGGTAGCAAAAGTAATATGGAGGTAGGCCTTCCCATCTAGAGTGGCTATTTCAAGGGTGTTAGCATTTAGCTATAGGCTAATGGATTTATGCATTCACAAGCAGTATTTTAATGTTGCAGTTCATGAATAATAAGCCTTTAAATTACTTTACTGTATTGACTTTGAGATTGGATTTTATAAAGTGATTCTGTGTTTTAAATAAGTAACTAAGAATAACTTTTAACTTTTAGATTCATCTGGTGGATCAAAATGTAGCCTAAAATATTTCCAGCTGAACTACAAATAGCTATAATAGCATCAGTTGGAAACACTCAAGTAAAGTAGCCTACATGACCTCATCATTTTACTAAATTATACTTTACTGTGTTCTACTTTAGTAAATTCACTTTTGCAGGCCTACTTTCCAACACTGATAACAACCGCAGGTTGTCCTTTATTTAATCTGAATGACATTTACAAAATAATAATATAAGTGGATCCTGCCTCACTTTCCCTGTGGGATTTATTGTTGTGCAGGATCAATACAAACCCACAGTTTCACAGTATTCTAATACATGTTGACAAAACAGAGCAGTTTTCAGTACTTCACTACTTCTTATTCATCCGCTGTGGGAAGCCAAACAGTGTGACTCACATTATGGTTGAAGCTCCAATGGGAGATGTAATGATTGATTCTTATTGGACTCAGTCAGTAAACATTAGGCAAATTAGTAGTATATGGTGCAGAAATGTAATTATGAGATTCAGTACATTCCTAAGGTTGAGAATTGTGCAGTGTAGCTGCTGTGAGTCTGCGACAGTGTAAAAGCTACTTCAGATCTACTGCGTGGGAAGATGATGTAGAGTCTAGACTGTAAAGTAAACTATAGGACCTGTTGAAATGCATTAACGCTGCAGAAGAGTCCTTGAGCATAACATCGTTTTATTTCTTAGGTAGGCTAGTTACTAGGTATATGTTGTCAAATGTTTGTAGTGAAGGGGGACTTCAGGAGGTTGCAGGGATGAGCTTAAGTGACCTTTTCCAGAGAAAACACAACATCTCAAGTGACTAGTGTATGTATATGCATGGTGCAAATGGAAATCTGGTTGTGGGATTTTAGTCCATTTATGGGTTATTCAATGGTTTACTATATACAAAAACATGCACATTTGTAAAAGGTAATTTCAGTTTGTGGTTATGACACATTAACTTCATCGAGGTGTATGTGCAGATCGAGTCATATTTTTTAGTAAAACCCACGTATTATCTTGACTTCAGGATAGGATTGTTGCTTTGTCATTCATTGTTTACCCCCACCCCCATTAACGCTCTATTAAAGTCACAGTGGAGTGCTTTACACATTGTAGTAATTCATGGGGGCTATTGGCATGTCCCTTCATGTGTCTGTACTGCTGATCACTCAAACCCCTCCACAATGAGGGTGGGCCCGACTTTATTGTTTGAGTTCAAAGGTGTCTGCGTAGAAAAAGGGATTAGGGGATTTTCCCTTTTTACCTTTAGACTCATCATTAGGCATTTTTTTACTTAGTGTTGGAATGTGCACAGTATTGAGTCACAGTGCAATAAATTAAAACCTTCAAGATTTAAAAGCAAAACAGAATTTGGACACAAATGCAAAGGTGTGTTGATGTTGATTTCCAGAACAGAGCTGCTGCTTGTAAAAAAAAGAATAGACTACCAGAGAAAAAAGTCCACTTTCATCATTGGCCAACAGTCATGTCCCAACAAAGGATGCAGTGATGGGACACTTGGGTTTTGAAAGGTCCACACCCCTACCTTATTACCAAGACAGAGAAGTGCACTTCATGATAGGACAAGTACCACCCCCCCCCCCCACACACACACACATACTCTCTAAATCTTGCCAGTGGTTTATCCCATTTTAAACCCCTCCTGCCCCTCCCCTGACACAGCGCCTCAATGAAAATCCATTCCCAAGTTGCCATCAAGAGGAGTGCACTACCATATCGCACCAAGACCAGAAGGTGATGAAGCAATGATACTCTGAGTTGATAAAGGTATTGTTTTTGTATTCCTATTATTAGCAGAGAAACTACTTATGTAGCTTGTGCATCTCCAGTATTTTCTTTCGACCGTAGTCGTGCGTAAAATCGGTGTAAAATGGAGACACGCGTCCTGGCGACGGTAACAACCCTCCTGTCGTGGAGTTACTGCGTGTTGGCCACGCAGGTCACCTTCTCCAACTTCTCCGTGGACAACGAGGTGCACTCCAGTTTCATCCAGCGGCGGCTGCGGAGCCAGGAGCGCAGGGAGATGCAGCGGGAGATCCTCTCCATCCTGGGGCTGCCTCACCGGCCGCGGCCGCACGTCAACACCAAACACACCGCTGCCCCGATGTTCATGCTGGACCTGTACAACACCATCTCCACAGATGCACAGCCGCCCGGATACTCTTACTACAAGCCCGCTTTACCCACCCAGGGCTCCCCCATGATGACCCCGCAGGAAAGCCGCTTCCTGGATGACGCAGACACGGTGATGAGTTTTGTCAATCTGGGTAAATTATATACCTTTATAACACATTATTACTATTTGAACTCACTAGTTGTTTTAGTATATATGTATCGTGTAAGAGGGACTTAACTTTGATGATAATTAATGAAAATAAACAATTATTAATTATTTGTAAAATATCCAAATTAAGATAAGATGAGATGCAGTATACTTGTTTATCCCAAATGGAGATTTAACTTGAGCAAAAATGAGGCACACAGCTCCAAAAAACGTAGCCAACAAGACAGTACAGGAGTACACTGAGACATAAGGCTTATAAATAGTGATGAAATAAGGAAATAATACATGGCATCCAACCAAAGGAAAGGGATTTCGTTTTCTCTGTTTTTCTCGTTGTATAAACTTAAGATTCAAGGATTAAAATGCTTTCCATTACCAAGTCTTACAAAGCCACTACTACGCAGTGCATTAGTTAAGAGTGTGTGTTACCCTGCAGTGTCCCTGACATTGTGGCTTTTAGGTCACTTTCCTCACTTGAAATCAGGCATTATGCATTCCGAGCTGTAAATGTTATGACAACATGCCTGTATCCGATTTCCCCAGAATCCCTTCAAAGCTCTGGGGGAGAGGCTTTAGCATGGCTTTGTTTCGCATGACTAGGAATTGAACGGGCATTTCTAAACCCCTAGGGAAAGAGACACAAGTTGACTATAAGATCAAGATACAAACTGCATCCAAACACATGTTGCTGGGGTAACCTCTGATAGTGCATGGGGCATGTGTGTGTGCAGTGCATTCCTGCATTTATGCGTCTGTGTGTTGGTTTTGGGCGGCACAAATCACATGGGTCACAGGTGAGAGCAGGGGCTCACTCAGACATTATTGAATTTATAAAAGGCAAATCCTGCCTTTGTTTCTCTTGGAGATCCTAGGCAGCTCTGATATCACTATAGTGAAGCAGTAGACGGCACGGTGCCTGTGGCTCTTATCCGGATGTGGTTTCATCCAAAATCAACCCGTGTCTTCTTTATGTCCTTCAGGAGGAGGGTTAGAGGTCAACCTGACGAGATGAAGTTAGTTCATCTGAGATTGTTTCTAGAAACCTGTAACCTTCCCTTTTGTCTGGGTGTTATTGAGATTGAACTAAAGACCCATTTAGAGTATTTTTTCTTCTCGATCAGCCCATCAATGTGTTGTTAATACAAAACATTTGGAGTCTGCAATAAATCGACATCACATTTTATGTACTCGGTCATGAGGGTTTTAAGCTAATGAGATCTGGAAACATTGTTTCTGAAAACTCAAAGCAGATTTATGCGGTTCCACATCTGAGGAGTTTGATCATGTCAAGTTAGGAGGAAAGAAAGGACACAATGTATTATTTTTTCTCTCGGTCCACCCCGGCCTCCTGTGCTGATGATTGGCAGAGTATTTAGCTGGGGCTTGCACAATGTGCTGCAGTGACTCTTACTTGGTGGTCCCTGGATGATCGCTTCAAGAGCGAAGTGGATTATGGTATTTCCCTTCCAAAGACCACAGCTTCCAGTGTGAAGGGAGCTGCCGTAGAGCCCCGTCTCCCACTGACCCAGGTATATCCTGCAGGTGGACAGAGCATAGAATACCATTTTAGATGATTACTTTAAAGATTAATCAGTTTAATTAATAAGGGCATAACATGTAATTTCAAAACAAAACCCCTTAATAATTAGACCTATGTTACAGAGTTTTTTTAGTTGTGTTCTTACTTTTATTCCAAAGGTTTACGTTGAATTTCAAACCTAGAGATTTCCAACATTTAACTAAAGGTATTTGTTACTTACCCCCGTTCCATATGCGTTGTGGTGGCCACCAAAAGCTGTCATAAATAGACATTTTATCGAGTTTTGAGCCACATTTTTAAGTTACACCTCTAAGAATTTGGTTGTTTTTTACTACTTAAGTTATCAGAAAAATATGTTAATCAACGTTAGCGCCCCCATCTGCCCAGCATCTTTGGAGACACACACATTTTTACAAACTACTCTTCACAGTTCTTTAATCCAGTTTTGATCACTGGCTTTGTATGTTTTGGAGACCTTTGCCGACAATTTGGCCCGTGGTAAAACCCCCTGAACGTCTGAATATTTAGAGAAACAAGCTGAGAAAACGTTAATAGCATCTCGGCACGTAGCCCCTTCTGGACGTCCTTTGTCCACCGAAAATTGTCTGTGGAAAACACTTTAACACAAATTAGCTTTATTTAGTCTTATTAGCTGGTCCATTTGTTTTGGAGAGAAGGATACCCCTGCAAATAAATTAGCTACTGGCCCAAAATTCTAGACGATGAACATGTGAGAAGTCTACTGCAAAGGTATTGAAGTCAACAACTCTTGTGATCCCACGCTAGTTCGCAATGTCACCAAATTCTGCCTTTTAACATTGTTTTTAGAGAGACTCCTTGCGGCACTCAAGTCATATTATCCCTTTTAAGTGAGATTATTTATGTTAAAGAAAAAGGATTAGGAAAAGTTAGTGTGAACCATTTCACTCCTCTTTTGTCCCTTGTTGGATAGGATTTAAAAGCTTATAGTCGACACAGACACGGTGTATCACATCATAGCACACAAGCATATACAAGTACACGGCTGCACATGTTTACTTCAGTTGGATTGCCAAACCACAGGTCGTTCTTCAGCACCACCAGCAGGAAGCTTTCTCCTCATTGTCATGCAACATTACACAGGCAGCTGCTTTTGCTTTGCACATGTGTAGTTCCTCTTTGTTTATAAAGGAATACAGTGAATTTAATGCAGGGGCTGACATAATCTTATCAGCTGTAGCTGCTCTGTCTTGTTTACCGATGTTGAGTTTTCGCTGCTATGGAGACATGTAGACATGTGTTCACTGGGTTTCTTTTCTGCTTTGGCCACAACACACCTGCAGAGCATGGGAAAAGGCTTAATGACAAGACACGTCAATGGCTTTCATTAAAATAGAAAGAGTGCAAAACGCTCTCCTAACATGACCGCGTAGGTGGAGAACAGAAGGGGCATTGTGTTTTTGAGAACGGGAAGAAATGTGTTTGTCCTGCTTAAGCTGACCTGTAGGAAGCATAAGGAGATCACACCAAGAATTTCTTTTGGCCCACCAGAAAATCGCATTAACTTTCTCATTATTTAAAAATGTGTGCAAAATAACGTATGAATAGGTGCAACAAGCCCTTCTTTTGGGGGTATAATAATCAAGCAATACTGTCAAACTAATCAACTCATGCAGAGATTCAAAGATTTGAAAGAGAGAAAAAGTTCATTTCGGTTAAAGATTAGTAAATCATTTTAATCAGTAGTAAATAAAGGTCTGAGCTTGACTGAAAATAATCTGAATCAGTCTCTGTTATTCACAAATGCCATCGTTTTTCTTATTTGTTCAGCTTCAAACCACCCATGCTGACTTGTAAAAAACAAACAAAACTCTACTATAAAATAGCAAGAGGTTAATGATAGCTTCGTGGCTGTGTGGCCCTGCAGTGTCAGGAGTAATGTGAAGTGTTGAAATGCCTCCCAGAGGGAAGTTTGCATATCTGAGGTCTGATCTCTGCAGCTAATGGTCCCTAACGTAAACACACAGAGTCCTTACAAGCAATTATTGTGTTCATAAAAACAGCCCTCGCTCCCTTCCAGCATTTAATTGCGGTCAAACGAATGACTAGCAGGGTTCAGAATGCACTGCTCTTAACGACCAACTGTGTGTTTTTGTGTCATTAGAAATGTTTTTAGAAGACTTTGAGTCAGTGTGTATTTGCTGGAAAACGTTCTTGGTCCTAGTGTTGAGGTGCTGTGTGTCTTTGCACTGAAACAATAGTGGGCCATCATCGGTGGGAAGGCAGCCTGATGTCAGGATGATGTCATGCTGTACGCCAGTGGGCAGGATGTGTTTAAGGTGACTAATCGCCGCTCCGCACACCTTCACCAGAGACCTCCACGGCTCTTTCCAAGGACATACACACATGCTGTAAAAACACGACACTCGAAAGCTTCAGGAAGCTTTCGGGGTCTTTCTGACCACCGTTACTTTGGAAAGTCTGAGAGTTGGAGAGCTTCAGCTGGTTCAGGGTGGGCTTCAGCTGCTGCTGCTTTACTTTAACAATCACAATGAAACACTGGAGATGCCAGTGGTGGCAGTACTCGGATATTCAACTAAATTAAAAGCAGCGTACTACAGTCTAGAAACACTTAATTACAAGTAAAGAAAATCATGCAATTTACTCAAAAGTACAACATTTGTATCTTTCAAATATACTTCAAGTTGCAAAAGTAAAACAACTTATGTTTCATGATGTCCCATTTCTGAATAATATATAATTCAATGTTGGACTATTATTATTGACAGATTTCTTTATCTCTTTAACCTTGCATCCAGTAAGGGATTAGCTTGTTTTAAATTATTTATATATATTTTATGTATTACTTAACAAACTAAAAATAATAATAACATAATCAGTTGATATGATGTCGTTTTGTTAATCTGAATTTGCTGAATTACTAAAGCTGCCAGATGAATGTAGAGTAAAACAATATTAGAGATGAATTATTGCAGAATAGATATACCAGTGAAATGTTCTTAAAACTATATTTAAGGACACTCCTTGTGTAAATGTTCCGAGTTTCTCTCCACCTCTGATCCCAGTGATCCATGGCACACTGATCAGGGATGTGTGGGTGGTACAGCCCCTGCTAGTTAAGTCTCTCTATACTTTATGTGAGTGTGTTTGTAGAAGCACACTGGCAGCTGTGGTTTTCCGGGCAGTGCCTTAACGGGCCTTTTCTTGTGGTCAGCACATGTGTGCAATTTAAACCGGGAGCCAAACTGAGCCATGCGTGTGTTTTTACTCCCCCCACATTGGCACGTATGGCACATTTAAGTGATGTTTAGATCAATCACTTTACTCATGGAAGCAGGATTTTTCCTATTTTTTGACGCAGCACTTCCGAGATGTGGGCAGAGTGACACACATCAGAGCAACGTTTGATTTGGCGACAGTTTTGACAGATATGCAACCACCGACTGGTTTTACCATCTGATTGTACTCAAAGTGGTTTGCAATTTCCTTAGATGTACAAACCTTCCCACTGAGGGTCAGAAGCTATTTTTCATTGTAGGGCTGCACAATTAATCAAACTTATATCTGATTTATTTGGTAATGAGAAAATATGTAAAAATGTAATTCTGAATTGCAAAGAGTTCCCAGCCTACAAAGGTTCTCCTACAGACAAATTCCTTTTTGGGTACAGATCCTCTTTAAAATCACACCATGATCATTTGAATATATATATTTAATGCTAATGTGAATAATCTTTCAGAAATAAATTACATTTGAATTGCAATATCAGTCAAAAGGAGTTATTTGTTCTAATGGTGCAGCCTTCAAAAGTGTTTTGATCAATCAAGTGATGATTTTCCACCTGCTTTCGCCTCCTTACAGTCGATCAGGAGAAGGACCTTCTGTTCCAGCAGCACAGAAGAGAATTCAGATTTGATCTTTCCCGTATTCCTGAAGGAGAGGCCGTCACAGCAGCAGAGTTCAGGATATATAAAAATGTTGTCCAGGAACGCTACGAGAACGAGACCTTCAGTGTCAGTGTGTACCAGGTCCTGGAGAAACCTCCAAACAGGTATGGGTGTTTTTCTACAGCTACTGCACATATTTCAGATAAGATAAACCTTTTATTGATCCCCGAGGCGAGACTGTGGTTTTCTTTACGGCCCTTGATTGGATTAACCCTTTGTTTGATGTATCAGTTAGATCTCCTCAGTGGAGTTTAGCATTCAGGGATCGGTTTACTCAAATTACAAATACAAAGGTATTTTGCGACTACATCAATTTTGTCGAGGAATTTCAATGAAACCACACGGAAAGTGCCCCCCCCCCCCCTCATGGAGATCCAAAATGTAGCATAGCAAAAAATGTGACTTTTCACAAACCTGTCTCTGTTTCTTCAGTGGAATTTCGTTCCTAACACATGCTGCTGGTGGATATTTTCTTTTCGAGGACAATATATTTACCCCCGTTTTAAACAAACAGTACACTCACCAAGTAGACAGCTGTGTAAAACCAAAAGTTAATGTTGACTTATTTTACCAACGCTATGTCACACAACTTAAGTATGTGACTAAAGTTAAATACAAAACCAATTTGTTTTGTTGCTGAAAGCTATACTTCTACAACTAGTTTTGTTTTAACTCACAGCCTTAATCCAAAAATAGGAAGAAAATACATTTCTATTGAAACATAATTCACAAAGCAGTCTTTTGTATGAGGACATAGTGTTTAGGAGAAATGGCTGTGATTTAGTTTGATCACATGGATGAACAGCAGTTGGTTTGACTGCTACACTAGATTATCCTCTTGTGTTAGTGACAAAGAAAGAGTAGTTTAGCTGATCATCATGCTACTGTGTGCTCACTGTGGACGCTGGTCGTCAGGCTGCTACTAGACGTGCAAACAGATCTGTCTTTGGCCGTGTCTGTCTACATTTCCTTACAGCTTATTTCTGCCGATGTTAGTGTCAGCGCCGAGGCTGTTTACACAGACATTAGTGTCAATTACAGAAACACGTCGGCCCTTCCAGAGAAGGTTTACTCTCTCACAGTCAGACAGTCCCCAGGAGACCTGCATTTACAACACGCAGCTCCCACCACAAATAACACTCTCAACCCTCCAGACGTCAATTGACTCTCTTTCTCTTACACAGGTGGTCAGTCCTCCATCTCCATTAACAGATTGTAGAATAATTAGACCCCACACATCCCCTGCTTGCTTACAAATCAAAGTTCTTCCACTCATGTTATAAACTCTCAGCAGAGGGGATCATGAGCAGGCGGTAGATTGAAAAGTCCTTCTATGGTGACAGCGGGGCCGATGATGGTGTTAAGGGCAACACCATTGTCATTCACAGACACACAGACGAGCAGGCGGCAGACGTGGGCCTGAGGGTCTGACACTCGGTCTGTAAACAAAGCTATTGTCTCTGGAGTCTGCTCTAAAGACGGCAGGTATTACTATTGTAGGATTTTTTTATCTGGGGTGTAAAGAAGATGCTCTCGTGATGGCTGTTCATGAGGGTGGATTCATGGTTCAGGGCGATACTTCAGTCAATATATCTTTCTTTAACTTCTTATTTCGATAAAAATATCTCAATTCTTTATTGCACGTTCTTGCTTTACCTTTTATGTTTTTATATATATTTTCATTTGAAAACAGAGCAGCTCTCCCAAAGCCCACATTTCCCCTGGGATGAATTAAATATTATTTTCTGATATCGTTTTGGGGCCAATTTTGAAATAATCCTATTGTTCAAATTGATTGTTTGCAATGCTTCTGGCTATCAATAGTGATTGCCTTTTTATATGGTTTATTATTCATTATCAATTTATAATCAACTAGTTTTTATTATCCTGATTTTCTCATGTATTTATCTTTAATGTATTTACATTGCAACTCATTGATTTCCTCAATATGCATAAAAGACATAAGGGAAAAAAACACTTAGATGCCTGTTATTTAAACTTACGTATGTTATTATAAACGGCACTGATGCTTCGTAGTTAACAGGTGACACAGTGGGTTGAGGAGGTCAACAGAAACATATGTTTAATATTATTTTTTTTTGCCGTTGCTAACTAAAATATACATCCCATATTCATCCTCTATGTAACCTTTTATTCTCTTATTATTTTCCTTCAGTCAGCAAATGAAACACTTTCTCAGTTGGACGGAGGTTTGGTGTCTGACTTGGCTTATCAACAACATTCCTCTCTTTGGCCATAAAAACCTCTTGGCTCCCTTAAGTGTTTTCTTTTTTCTGCTGCATTGCCGTACAATTGGGGTTATGTATATTAAAACACAATTCCAACAGTTTTCCCAGCGTATGGTTACACACCAAGCCAATCATTATCTCTTTAACCTCCGAGGCATTGTTTAATTTAAACCAAACTAAGTGTCTTTTTTTTACAAACAAACGTTAAAAAAATGTCATAATTTGCTGTATTTAATATAATTTAATAATTCTGCTTGCTTTTTTTGGCCTATACATTAATATTCATTTAAAATGCATGATAGAAAACCATTTTCCCAAGCATGTCATGCCACGTTGCACAAATGTACAAGACAAGATCATTAACAAATCATAGTTTGATAAAAAAAATTATTTCGAACAAGTAAAATAAATAATTACAAAACAAAAAAAATGTTTCAGTGCATAGTCATGTAAGAGAAATCAAAACAAAAAATGACATTTACAACAACAACAACAACAGCATTAGCAACATAAACAGTCCCACATAGTGTTCGAAAAGGAGTGGTATATCATCACCATATCAATGTCGTTAAACTGATTGTGGATACATATTTGCAAATTTGAAAGTCTTGGATACAATACAATACAGCTTTATTTATATAGCACTTTAAACCTCCAGACCAAAGTGCTGAACACAGCTCAGCTCACACACCATAAAACAAGTACAAGTAAAAACAATAGGCAATTTAAAAGCAATAAAATCAACGCTCTAAAAGATGTTAATATGGAGAAGAGGTGGGTTTTAAGAAGCGATTTAAAAGCAGGCAGTGTGGCGGCCTGTCTGATGTGCAGGGGCAGATCGTTGCACAGTGCGGGAGCCGCTACAGAGAAGCAACGGCCCCCTCTGAGCTTTGACTTGGTTCTGGGCACATTCAGTTGATGATTGATCCGAGGAACATTTTTGCATCTGGATACTGCTTATAGCCTCAACATGTATTTATTCTAATGACTTCCTGTGCTCTCACAGTGAGGTGGAGCTCCTGCTGCTGGACCAGCGCGAGGTGTGGGCTGCAGAGGACGGCTGGCTGCTGTTCGACCTGACCGCCACCAGCAACCTGTGGCTGGTGAACCCGGAGCAGAACCTCGGGCTGCACCTGGTGCTGGAGGACAGCCACGGTCAGTCACTAACACACATTCACACACTGAGAGAGAGCCATGACAGCAAGAACCTGTCCTTGTCTGGAGAAATGATTTAATGCTGTTCTATTCCAATGGAAAAAAGGAGCATCACATATTGAGTAAATGTTTTTAGATGGTTCTTACGGAGTTGAAGTTATGATTGTGCATTCAAATGAACACATGATTGTTTAGCAGAGGCTTATGTGTGTGTTGCAGTCCTTGGTTGGTTGAGACTCACTAGGTTTGTCCCCCTGTCTCCCTCTGTAGGCCAGAGGAGGAACCCCCATCTGGCGGGGCTGGTGACGGGGAACGGGGCTCAGGAGAAGCAGCCCTTCATGGTCGCCTTCTTCAAAGTCAATGAGGTGCGATTACGCAGCGTCCGATCCGCGCACGGACACAAGGGGCGCCAAGGGAACCGCTCCAAACCCCAGAAGACGGTCCAAGACGCTCTGAAGGTCGTGGAGGCTGCAGCAGGTGCCCAAAAACCACATCTCACCAACATAGACTCTAGTCATGGTTTACTGGCAGTGTCCTTTAATACTTTTTTTAATAGATCTATTGGGCGTTATTATTTATAGGGAATTATAATACATCCATAATGCAACTACACTCATGAACACACACACTGACGCACTATATTGGCAGTCATAAAACATTATAGATGCTACTCATAAGGAATTATAAGTGGAAGCTCTTGACTATTTATAAACTCTGAGTGAACTGAAGGGTTTATAGTACATTATGACTACCTATACTCACCTATACAAACCTTCTGATGTAATAAAGACTCATAGCGATTTTCCATAGTCCATGCAGTATCACAAGTTATTAATGTTTGGAGTATAAAGTGATGCATTTATAATAATGCATGCTTTTTCACAACACTTCATTGTTGGTATTCAGTCTAATGTAATGCCTGCATTTAAGATAATCTATATTGCATCATTTGAGATTATTATGAAAGACGCCTGAAAGAATTAGAAGTAAAAAATACACAGTATAACTCAATTATTCAGAGAAAATATGAAATAGAATTGGTCAAGCCGAGTGAAAATATAGAAGTATTTTCTGTGTCCAGCTGAATTTTTTTACTTGTAGTACTCTTTAGATGTTAACATAATAATAACGTATGATGCAGCGTGTAAAAGCATTTAAAATAATGATCTCCTGATGCATTATAAATGTGAGAGTGTTATTGATGTTTGTTTACTTTCTTGTGTTTACTCATACTTCCATCTTTTCCATTTCAGATACCCTCAGCCTCTCCAAAGAGGGATGTAAAAAGCACGAGCTGTATGTCAGTTTCAGAGATTTGGGATGGCAGGTATGATTCAGATCTTCCATTTGATCTCATTTCATTTCAATTTCATGTCCAAAAGTGACAATTGGCTTACATTTGCTGGATGCTTTAATCCAACCAGGACTGGATCATCGCACCAGAGGGTTACGCAGCGTTTTACTGCGAGGGAGAATGTGCCTTCCCTCTCAACTCCTACATGAACGCCACCAATCATGCCATCGTGCAAACTCTGGTAAGTCCCAAACAGCCCCCATCATGATGACAGGCACTTTCACTACCACCTCCACTTCCTGTGAGCATTGATTTATGCCTCTTCTGTCAACAGGTGCACTTTATCAACCCGGACACGGTGCCAAAGCCGTGCTGCGCCCCCACCCAGCTCCACGGCATCTCAGTGCTCTACTTTGACGACAGCTCCAACGTCATCCTCAAGAAGTACCGCAACATGGTGGTCAGATCCTGCGGCTGCCACTGACCGCTGCAACCCCCTCCTGTGAGTTCGTGAAAAATCTGGAGGGACGCTGAAGAAAGGCAGAAGTGAAAGAGCCAGAGAGGAGATGATTGACAGGCTGGTCATCAGGGAGCTCCTGCCACAGGACGAGCTTTAATCTGGAGGACTGCTTTTATGAGCAGCAGCTGAGCCTCACATGCAGTATGAACCACTACCACAAACCTTTCCAAACTTTTGGCAACAAAGAAAGGATGAACAAAGGGGTTTGTTTTCCTTTCCTTTTGAGATTGACTCGAAAAAGTGCACTAAAAGGATACTGAGCAATGTGGAGCTACTTCAAAGACTCAAATAAAACATTCAGTGCTAGCAACAGAAAGTAAAACCACACCTATCTGCATTTAAATGAAGGGTCTTCTTGCATTTAGAATATAAAACACTGCCTGGGTGGACACGTGCATTAGGTAACTGATTTAACAGCTTGTGACACTTTAAAATCTCCATCTTCCTGTTGAACCTCTGCACCTTTCCTTAAAGAACAGCTGAATGAATTTATCTCTGATGAGAGAGAAAAAAGCTTTGATTGTTCAGCAGGGCATTTCAACCGCGTCAGGTGTAAGACATCTGGACGCTGGCGTGTGTGCCGCTGATGTGGAGGAGCTCAGAGAAGAGTGGCAGCTGAGACGGTTAATAACAGCGTTGGACTGAAAGGCTGCTGCTGGATCTAGTTTCCTGGTGCAGCACGATGGATGTGAGAGACGTGCAATCTGCGAGAGTCGGTGATTCATCTTCATGTTGACACCAGGGTGTGCACCACCTCTGCAGCTGCCACCTGGTGTCTGGCCAGCTGCAGGTGGGCAGAGGGGAAACTGTAATTTTAGTTTTTCAGATTTAAGTAGTTAAGGCAGGTGTGTGTTCAACCTAATTTGCCCTCAATAATGTTGTTAACAGTTGCATTGAAGCACCTTGGATACTTCAAGGAATTCATGGTTTGTAGAGATTTATGACAAAAATATGCAGAAACTTTACACATATTTATTTAACAGTGAGGAAATCGTTTCTATCTAACCCTAACCCTGCATTTCCATTTGCAGAATGTCATTCACTCTGATTGTGCATTAGGTTCATTGTAGAGAATAACAATGCAGCCAGGGGAGGGGGGGTTATATTCAGGTGGAAAAAATACGAGGAAAAACACAAATGTATGGGACAAAAACTTTTAATAATCTCTGAAGTCAGAATTGAGTTCTGTAAGGAAAAATAACTTGACAACAGACTATGCATTTTATATTTCCGAAGCTGATTGCAAATGTATAGAATTGCATTTTTTTAGAGGAAATGTGTGACTTTAATCTCAATAAATATTATGGTTTTCTTTTTGAATTTGTGATTCCTTCTTCATTTAACATTTAACTGTCAGAGATTCAATAAAGTTATAATTTTGAAAAATGTGATATATAATATTATTATCTGAAAATATGACCCCCCCTTCCTGGCTCTGTACTACCTACAATGGTCCCGACACGTCAGCGTACCGTTCTCCACTCACCGATTGTGCTTTTGAAGTACTTTGAATGGCACAAGCATCTCCTCAATTATGAACAGGCCATTCAAAATGAAGCTTCAGTACAAAAGCAAAGCAGATATAATAGAGTGCAACAACAACCAGGCAACAAATGCATTCACACTGACATTCACTGAGAAGCTGAGCGCTTCCAACGCAGCACATTACAACACAGCCCACACCGTTAAAAAGACCTTAAATATATATCTTAAATAGAAAAAAGAGGTAGAAGCGTAAAACTTAATCCTACAGATGCAATCTCAAACCAAGGTCTTATCAGAAACTATTCTGTCATTCTAGCAGTAGGGCCTATGTCTCAAATCAAACCTCATTATTAATGATAGAGGAGTCTTACATAAGAATAGATGTAACTTTAAATGATATGATCAGCGGTGAAGCACCTGAGGGAGTATTTTCCTTAAAAAGCAACGTGGGCTGATTTTGTCAGAACTGCTTTCAATAATAAAACCCAAAAATATAATTTGAGCCTACAAGATGAAGCTCAATTCACTCTCATGGGAGCATCTTCCGGTGGCAACTTAGATGTACAATTGAGTTGACTCAACTTAAATATCCAGTGTTTAATCCCTGACTACCTTAACAGAACATTCAGAAATCCTGAGAGTTCATCTTTTCCTTCCTTTTACCCCTAGATACAATTAAAAAATACGACAGTCAAGCACAGATATGATTCAGGAGGTAGAAAGAAGGTAAATATAGGCTGATTAAAGCAGAGTTTAGAGAGACTGACATGCTTCCTGTCTTTAAAACAGCAACCCCTCCTCACTTCATGCAGTTAGTCCCCGGGCCCCTCAGCTCAGGGGCCGAACAGTGTCTCCTGCGGACCGTCTCTCCCTTCTTCTTAGTTCCCTCTGCTAACCCCAGTCCTTGTTGTGATGCCTTCAGGGACTCACACCCTCCCTCTGACTTCCTGGGTGAGGTCTTTGGCTCCAGGGTGTCTGACGGGGGAGGCTGGGGGGTTGAGATGGGGGTGAGAGCCAGGCAGATGTCCCCCACACTGAGCTGACGGCAGTGCAGGCCACAGAGACGAGCCGTCCTCAGGGGGTTGCAGGAGGACCAGCCCCTCCCTCGCACAAAGAACGGGTACTCCACGTAGACATCCACCAGCTCCTGGAGGAGGACACACAGGAGGATGAGACACAGAAACGCAGCTACACACGTGTTCAGTAGAGGGCACTACTGGACCAGTCAGTTTTTAAACATGTTAATCATTTAATAGATTCAATTTGACTCTGATACCCCTGATATATAACTGACCATATTTCAACATACACATCATTAAGTTAGGCTCAAGGCTCAGTTCATCCTAAAAACATGCTTTTACCTGTAGTTCAATCTAGGTTGTTTTGGCCATATCTTGGCAATACTGGCAGTGGAGATGTCTGCCCTCTCAAATCTTATGGAAGTAAATGGCATCCGCACTGTGGTGATCAAAGCTCCATTTAAAAAATATCAACCCGCAATGTCTCTTTACAGAAATCATGAGTATCAAGATAATCTGTATACAGACATCGTTGTAAGCAGTTTTTAGTTGGAACTTCTTTCTTTCTGCTGAACTACAACCCCCTTTAGATTGTTTTTCAGCTTTATAAACTGCAAAACAATTTAAATAAAAGTCAATAGCTTCAGTATTTTGGTAATAATTTAAAGGTGGGGTAGGTAAGTTTGGGAAACCGGCTCGAGATACACTTTTTGTTATATTCCATGGAATGCTCTTAACATCCCGATAGCAATGAATATCTGAAGTGCTTTGACAAAAAATCCAAATTTTGGAGAAACCAGCTCGAGTGCACTAGAATTTGAAAATACACAGATGGAAAAAATCTGCCACTTCCTTACAGAGCCCCTCCTCCAACACACACGAACGCGCACATGACCAATGAGGGCACGAGATAAATTTATGCACAGATGGAAGGCTGACAGGCAGGTAGGCCATCCAGTTATTTTAGCCGGGCCGGCTAAAATGATTGGTCGTGCTTTTTACAGTACTACGGCTTCCACAGATGACATTTTTAATGGATTTTTTGTCAAAGCACTTCAGATATTCATTGCTATCGGGATGTTAAGAGCATTCCATGGAATATAACAAAAAATGTATCTCGAGCCGGTTTCTCAAACTTACCTACCCCACCTTTAATGTGTTATACATCTTCACTGTGTGTCAGTCAGTCCCTTGTATTTTTGCAAACTATAACATGGTCATAAAAATAATTTAAGTTAAAAAAGAAAATGCTGCTGGGTATTATTTTTAGCAAACATTACACACATATAAGTACTTGGTGCAGATGGGAACTATTTTCAGCTGCAAATTAACACAAATTGTGTGAACTAGTGTATTTTGGCACAAGGACTGTGTCTGAGGGAGTGCACATGTTCATTGTCACCTAGTTGTGGGTTATTTATGGCAAAGAGGAATATGGTACATCAAGCTTTGGCTTCAGAGTAAATTCTTTGTTGTATTTGCTTACTATAAAACAATGTAAATTACTATGAGCCTCATCTAAAAATACTAAAAAGGCATTATTTCACTCAGAATTGGGAATAATGTGTGCTATATATTGTAACCACTTTCATTCAGTAGTGCTTAAATATCAAGACGGCATCCCCCATCAGCCAGAATGCAACATTTTGTGCATGTATTACGTAAGAAAACGAATTACAGCTACGTGTGAAGTGTCTGTTGTGAATGGTGAATACTACAGAGTGGTTTCCCTTCACCTGGGACTGCTGGTCGTGAAGCAGGATGAGTAAGCGGGAGATGGAGATGGAGGAGGAGGAGGAGGCTGAGGGGGAGATGCTCTGCACAGTGCAGCTGCTCAGGCGTAAGTCCGGGCAGGCCAGCGCTCCCAGCAGGAAGTCCTCCGTCTGCAGGTGCTCCACCCTCCTCAGCCGCCCGTCTCTCAGCTCGATGAGAGAGCCGGCCACAAAGTGAGGGAGCAGCCAGGGGAAATGATTAGGAGAGGCCTGCTTAGAGGAGGGGAGGGAAGTAGATCGTGACTGCTCCTCCTTCATGGAGATGTAGTTTGAGTTATCAGGTGATACTCGTACAAACGATTGTCCAGAGAAGGGATGTTTGACAGCCTTTGATAATTTGTGCGACACATCGTGTTGGTGCGTCCGGTCCTCAAGTGTTGCTTTTCCACCCCTGGGAAAAAGCTCCACTCTCCTGTCTTTTCTCCTCACATACGGCCCTTTACTCCTCCCGTTGCTGTGCCTCTCTGCGATCAAACTCTTGTCCCTTAATGTCTTTAACTGCTCCCAGCCGTACCCTCCACACACCCTCTGAAAACCCTCATTGGACAGGGACGCTGGGCTGAATCTGGGGGGTGGGGGTGGATGGCCCAGGTGGAGAGCAGGTGTGCCAGACAGGTGGTGCTGAAAGTGGGGAGAAAAGGCCCACCCAGGATGCAGGGGGTTCACATCTCTCCACTCTGCCAAGCTGTGATGATCCCTGAATGCAGAGAGGTTATGAGGTTTGGACCTGGTGGGGGGGGTGGGGGTGCGTCCAGGGCTGGTATAGAGCAGGAACCCTCCTCGGGACGGGCTGGAAGGGGCCTGTGTGCTTGGTCTTAAAGTCTCTGTGGCCCTTGTAAGGGTAGGGGGCTTTGAATGTTGCCGCATCACACTGCTGCTGCTGCTGCTGGGGAGGCGGGCTCGGCCTCTGGTCCCTCTTTTTGAGCGGGAGTCTGTCCCTGTCCGGGACCAGAGCTGGGTTGGTTGTGAAGCTCATTGGCCCGCGCTGCCTGTCACTCACGCCGGCACTGCATGCCCTCCTGCTGAAGCTGAGGAGGTGTTGTGGTCACGTGACACAGACTCCAGTCTTTTGGCAAGCGCTGTGGATAGTCAGGTCCAAGGTCGTCACGATTCTGGAAAGTAGAAGAAAAACAAATGTCAAATGCACAAACAGAGGAATCTGGATTGTATTCAGTCTCTGTCTTTCTCCTTCAAAATGGTTTAACTAATGACTTAATGCACCACCTATTCATTGCCTGCCAGTATCATCCTCACAAAACAATTGTAATGGCAATCCAATGTCCTATATACCGGTTGCCATTGTTTACACAGGTGAGTGGTGAGTGGTGAGTGGTGAGAGTGATCTTACGCAGAGACAAACCGATGATTTTCCGGTCGTTGGATGAGGTTTAGTTTGAAGTTTGTTGCAGAGGTTGTACAATACAAGGTTTCCAATGGCTATCGGGTTGTAGCTGAAGCTCTGTAGTCCGTAGTTAGCATCTATGTGTGCTCTCACTCTACCTGTGCCCCCCCTTTCTGGTCACTTATGCCCCTTTTTATACAATCTGGGCAGCTAATACCCACCACTAAGTGTTCAAGAATATTATTGCATTATAACAAAATAAACTAACAAGCCAACAATAAACATACATTGCTCTTTCAACAAGATTGACCTCACTTTCCAACTACCAATTGCTTCAATGAAGTCTTAGTTTGATGGACAGTTACCACATCAAGTTACCATGGTTACAAAGTGCTGCACAGTATGGCGGTACAAGGTTAGAACAATGCAAAGCAAGAGGTTAATGTAAAGTTAACAGATTGTATCACAAGGTTAACATTGAATCAAGACATGGCCTTGAGTGTGTGTATTAAGTGACGGATGGGCACTGGTTATTAAAGCGTGCATTTCTTCTCATGGGGCTGAAGTGGTCTCCAACACCTCGAGCCACTGAAACCCCATCATCCTCCTTCCATGCGTGCACAACAGTGAGTCAGTTCACTGAAGGGGGGCTAAATATAAGCACCTTGTGGCCACACACACAACAGCTTCTCACAAAGACACATCATCTGACCGAATCAAAAGCGGACTTTTACAGCCTTTCGATGCAAAGCTCATCTCAATGCCCGGCATTATGCCATCATCATATAGCCATGCAGCGCCGCTCAATGGACCGCTTTCACTCTGATATGAGCTGCTCCTCTGTAATGTGTGTGGGTTCAGACACTGCATTCCTGTGCGAGCATTATAGCATGACACATACACAGATAGTTAATGCCTACAGTGAAGATGTAAATTCATTCAAAGAAGCTTGGAGGTGCGGGCTGCTTACTCACAGAGATCGGATCATGGCCCAAACAGGCCCGACACTGTGCTGAACAAACTTATAAGGTGATGAGGTCACTGCCGGTCACTAACTATGGAAATGTATTGTATACACAGCAGGGTTTAGTGTGTTTGCTGCCATCGTGATAATGTTAATCTGAGATGATTTGCATATAGTGGCAGCTTGATGTTTCTATCTAAGGAGATGTAGCACTATACAACTAAATACAACATCCTTTGTTCAAATCTGCAAAGAGTTCCCTAAAAACTAGCATTCAGAATCAAATTCGGCATGAATCACAAATCGCACTCGCTAAACTTGAAGACAAGAACATGTTACATAAATCAAGAAAAAACATTTGTTAAAGACTTACTTACACGTTCTTCCATCTGTGCATCTGTTCCTCTGTGCGACCCATCTTCAGAAATTCATGTCCACAGATTCTCCTCCCTTACACACACACACACACACACACCTGTCTGGCTGGTGTCCTCCTCCCAGGCTGCAGGTGATAACAGAGCGATCAGAAGCATCCAGACGAGCTCCACAGACTGTCAGACAGACACACTCTCCTCCCTTTCTCTTCGCCTTCTCTCTCTTCCTCTCTCTTTACCCTCCTACTCGCTTTTTACATTTACACTCCCACTCTGCTCAGTCAGTCAGTCAGTCCTGTTAACCTTTCTCAGACAGATTTGACGTCTCTCCCTCCCTTACTTTCCACCTCTCTCTCTCTCTGAATCTCTTACTTGTCCACCCTGTGTTTGCTGCTGAGTAGCACTCTCAGCCTCTCTTCCATTTGTAATCACACTCTCCATATTCCACACGCTCTCCCTCTCTCCTTCGCTCTCTGTTGTTTGGTGTATAATTAGAAATGAGACTCCTCAGCTGATGGTAGGCGTATGACTGCCTGATGGTTTTTGGCGCTTTGCCTGGCGTAGTGAGGGCGGGAGAACGTTGTTTTTAGACTCCAGCTTGGACACACATTTGCAAAACAGAAATCTTGCATTGCTTAAGCATCCTCTTTTTTCTTCTTCTCACACTTATGATGTTCTATCCTGAACGAGCGTGACGCCAAGTTGTGAGAATGCTTTGAAATGGCAAGTAAATGCTTCGGAGCAAAGTGTCCAAAGGTCAACATCAAGCACTAAAGTCAACCTTCTTTCATGGATGTGCAGACAGGAACAACATCACCCCCCTCACCCTCGCCCTGCGGCCTGCCTGCTTTCTCTCTGTACATTTCTTTCTCACTTTCTCCTTGCTTGCTTTCTCGTCTTTCCCTTTCATCTTCTTGACATCATTTTTAAAACACAAGACAGAGGACTTTTTGCTCTTCTCCATGGCTGCCTCAGCAGCACGCAGCCCAGTTCTCAGCTATTGATTCTGCACGGCCTCAGCAGGTGAACCCCCAGTCATGAGGAAGCCCACGCATAATCTACTTTGAGGTGGAGAGGATTTCTCACTTTGAGTCACATCATGCTTCCTCTGCCCACTCTCTCTTTCTTTCTGTTTCTCGCTCTTCTCTCTGTCTCACACACACACTGGAGAAACTGACAGACTGTTAATCGCAGTCTTTGCCACTACTAGCATATTTAGTCTAAACCACCATAACCGCTGACATTTACAAACTGTTTGTTTATATTGATAGAAATCGCCAGTCACTCCCACCACTTCCCAACTGCTACATTGCAGCCGCTGTTTGAAGTTTCGCTCTTCAGCATGGCTCACAGTGTGAGTTTCAGTTACATTTCAGTGCTTATGCACACAAACATATGGAGGTTTGCTATTAATGTGGGGCCTTTAGTGGAGAGAAAGTATTCAGATCCTTTACTTGAGGAATAAAGAAATACCACACAGGGAAAATACTCCATACCAAGTTAAAGTTGTGCATTCAAAATAATGGTAAAAGTAAATGTATTATAAGCAAAATGTAGGAAAACTGTTTAATTTGCGGGAACATATTTTCTCTCAGTGGATGTGGGCTGATCATTGTGGAGTGTGTGTCACAACCACAACGGAAAAAAGCGTTGAGATGAACATCATTGGACGAATTCCAAATGTTGAGTTTCCAACTTTCTAAGAGAGCACCACTACAAGGATTCAAAAGATTCAAAACGTGTGACAGCCCTAAGCATGTACAGGATGAGTGACTGAGAAAGATCACAAACAGGATTGGTCATGACCAGTGTTGGGACTAACGCGTTACAAAGTAATTTATTTTTGGCAGTAACTAGTACTCTAACGCATTACTTTTTAAATTCAGTAACTCAGTTACCGTTACATGGTGCGTTACTCCGTTAGTTTTTTTATATAGTCAACAGCCAGGCGAACAGAGATGAGAACTGTACTTAAGTACAGTACTTGAGTAAATGTACGTAGATACTTCCTGTGTCACATGCGGAGACGGGCTGTGGGCGTGTTTGTGTTGTTTACTAACAAGACTATCATGGCGGCGGCGGAGCTCAAGTCTAGTTTCTCCAACTGGAGATATTCTCACTATTTCACTTTTGTCGAGCACAAAGAAAAGAAAGTTTCTGTTAAATGTAAGTTGTGTCTTGGCGGGTCAAAGATCCTATCTACTGCCCAAACCAGTAATTCAAATCTGTTAAAACATCTGCAAAAACAACATGCTGGGACGAAGCTAGTAGCTAAGACCACAGAGACTCAGCCGACGCCACTCCACCTCCACCTAAGCAACAGCGGCTGGATTTTAACCAAGGGACTGCTAGCCAGGGAAAAGTCGATAAAGCCATTGCACGGTATGTTGTAGAACACATGCAGGCTATTGCTACAGTGGAGTCACCCGCTTTCAGGGAGCTAGTTAGCATGATAGCATGTCCGGGTGGCACACGGCATATGGGACGGAACACTTTTTCCAACTACCTGGAGAAAGAATATACAAAAATGGAAAGCCAGCTAATATCGATGCAATCCAGATTGCATATAATGCATGTCAAGTTTATCAACATATTGTATTATTCTCCAATGCAATAACAGTACTGAAATGAAGGCTATAAGGGCATTAATGGGAGCCCTTTAGTTAAGTAACGCGACGTTACTTTTGGGTGTAAGTAACTAGTAATGGCAACTAGTTACTGGTTTTCAGTAACTAGCACAACACTGGTCATGACACACGTAGTATTCCTGGATCACATCAGTTACCCAGTGAGGATGTTTCAAGCCAATACAGTGCAGATGACGCTGGAAGTTTGGTCACAGCTCTTTAATCTGCAGACATGCTTAGGGGATTTGTGAAAATGTGTGAATGATTTATTATCTTCACGGCCTACTGTATATTTTCTACTTTTTAATGCTGCTTTATTCTATTTTGAGATGTTTAAATTGTAGTATTTTTTATTTTAACTCTTTAATTTCTACTTATGTGCAATGCCTTGTTTCTTGTGTTTTTTTTTATGCTGCTGCAACACAAAGATTTCCCAAATTGGGATCAATAAAGTACCTCTTATTTTATCCTATCTTATGAGTTGTGCAGAGCAGAAACTGACTGTGAGAATGAGACCAGGTGCAGTCAGTGTGGGGGAATCACGAATCATGGAGATCTGAGTAAAATAATAAAGAATAGGTCCAAGAAAATAATAAATGGAGAAGAACAACCAAAGAAAGGGAAGAGTCTAGGAGACAGGGAGTGTACAGCAGGTAGGATTATTATTATTATTGCTTGTGTAAGGTCAAGAATAAGTTCTTAGTGTTTCTGGCCATGGTGGTCAACTGTGCTACCGAGGCAGAAAGACAGGCTGACAGAATTGAAATAGTTGTTGATGCTGCAAGAAGGTTTCTGTACATTGTGGGAGTTATTGGAGAGGAAGTGCCGGGGAGAGAGGCTTTCATGCCCTCTCACAGTCTGCAGCAATGATATCAGTACTCATTTGAGATAAGAGTATAAAGCTTGATTATGTTTAGTTAATGTCCCTTTTCATTTATATATATATAGTATAAGTATATAAGTCGTTTCCGTTAGTCATAATAGCGTTTTTGGAAAAGGCAGTTTATTATTTATCCGGTAGTTGACGCTAATGTTTGGATGCCAACCGCCTCTAAAAATCCCCAAAACAAGAAGAAAGAAGAAGGGGTGATCCACCTGAGCAGTGGCAAAAGATGGCTTTGAGGACAAAAACACAGGACATGGTGATGACTTTCAGATTTAAGAAATACAATTAATTCAAATGCATGTAAATGGATATTAAAAACTTTAAAATAAATAATGAAATAAAAAGAAACTTGAAAATATGATCAAAGTAAAGTTGAAGTGCTGAATCTCACGCACAGATTCTCGCAATGACTACAACATCCTCTCCTGCCTGCAACTCTTCAAAAGACCGAGATGCTGTGTTTTGGAAAAGGCAGTGATGTAACGATGCTCTGTGAAGCCTCTGCATCAGGTGGAGGAACTGCTGCTAGTGTCATCTGTTGTCCACTAGAGGGAGCCTGGGACACACAGACCACCAGGTGATATACTGTGGCTGTGTCCTATGGCTGTGTCCTATGAGAAACAGGAGTGAAGTTTTTAAAGCCAAATGTATGTTGTTGTTTTTTTGTATGTTTTTGATTTATTAAAAGTCTTCAGCACTAGGCCAGTACTGCACCCTGAACTTGTTTTACACTTCTCTTGCGTTTCGGGTCAAAAGTGACCGAGTGACTTTGTTTTTGATCAGAAATATTGTGTTTTCATCCAATTGCCTCAATAGCTTATGTTATCCTCCACACTAGGCCTCTGAACATATACACTTGAAGATCAGATCACCACTTGCATTGATTTCTTTGTGATTTATTCAACAGTGAAACCCTTGATGTTTTCGGTCAGAAATGACCGCCATAGGAAATGAAAGCTCAACCTTGACAAGACTGAGCTGCTCTTCCTTCCGGGAAAAGATTGTCCCACTCTTGACCTAACAATCAACATCGGCACCTCAGTTGTTTCCCCGACTCAGACTGCAAGGAATCTTGGTGTGACCCTAGATAACAACCTGTCCTTCACTGCAAACATCGCTGCTACAACCCGTTGCTGCAGATACACGCTTTACAACATCAGGAGAATGCGTCCCCAGCTGACCCAGAAAGCGACTCAGGTTCTGGTCCAGGCTCTCGTCATCTCACGCCTAGACTACTGCAACTCCCTCCTGGCTGGTCTACCTGCATGTGCCATCCGACCTCTGCAGCTCATCCAGAATGCAGCGGCTCGTCTGGTCTTCAACCTTCCTAAATTCTCCCACACCACGCCGTTCCTCCGCTCCCTTCACTGGCTTCCGGTAACTGCTAGAATCCACTTCAAGACACTGGTACTTGCTTACCATGCTGCGAATGGATCTGGCCCTTCCTACATCCAGGACATGGTTAAACCGTACACCCCAGCGCGTGCACTACGCTCTGCATCAGCCAAACGACTCGCTGCGCCCTCGCTGCGAGGGGGACCCAAGTTCCCATCAGCAAAAACACGTGGGTTTGCTATCCTGGCTCCAAGATGGTGGAATGAGCTCCCCATTGACATCAGGACGGCAGATAGCTTGCACATCTTCCGGCGCAGACTGAAAACTCATCTCTTTCGACTCCACTTCGAGCGATAGAACTATTAACAAAGCACTTATATACTAATAAAGGACTGGCTTATCTAAAGCCAGTTGAGTAGCACTTGAAATGTTTGGCTCTATGAACCTGATGTACTTATATGATTCTGTTTTCTTCAAGGTTGTGTCTTCCTGGTCGAATGTACTTATTGTAAGTCGCTTTGGACAAAAGCGTCAGCTAAATGCAATGTAATGTAATGAATGGGTTTGAGTGTATTATGTTCATCCTGCAGATGGTTGAGTTATCATCGTTCAGACTTTGTTTGTATAGCACTTCTCATACAATTAAAATGTAGCGCACTTCACACTGTACAACAACCCTATCCTCCCTCTATGCACATACAAAGCAATTAATGGGTTTGTAATAATAAAGAAAATACCAGCATAAATAAATCTGAGGAATCACTATAAGAATTGTGTGTGTGTGTGTGTATGTTTTACATACATAATAACGTCTCACACAAATAATAGCCAGTGTGTTTGTGATTCACAGGTTGTAGTTGTAGCGTCATCAAGTTTCCATGGAAGAAAACGTATCACTACCTTTCCTGAAACACCTTCAAATAACCAGGAACTGTTTTGTTAATAATTAGGAACACGGTGGTGTTTTGCCAAATGTAGCTTAAGTCATGATTCATCGTCAACAGGTCCAGTGAGGTCAACAACAGGGCAACAAATCAAGTCTGTTACAGATATAAATAGTTGAGGGTTAATAAGAAATCAGTATTTACATGTCTCTAAAACGCACACAGAACCCAACCCTATAACTCATAAATCAAATGAAAAGCTTGAAAGCAGTGAGAAGAGCCAGTGTGTGGAGGCTCTTTTATTGGCTCTCATCCAGAAGTAAATTTTTCACCACCTGTCTGTCATCTAGGTGCTGCAGGTGGAGAGGGCGCGTCCTACGAAGATGCTGATGGAGTATGACTCTTCACTCTCTCCATCTCAGGAGGCACGGCTCTCCGCTTGATTGTGCTGGTGTGTGTTTTCTCATCATCTGACCTGACTTCACAGATTTCTCCTCGGTGGGCGTCCAGACTCTGGCTGTCAGAGGAGGAGTTTGAAGACGTGGACGACATGCGGGACTTGGCATCAAGACCCTCGAGGACATGTCGAAAGAGTCCATTGTTGATGACCTCCCCATTGTTGTTGTTTCCTTGGACTGTGAGTTAGATCCAAAAAAAGTGTTAGGGATGTTATTAAGACAATCCACATTCAAAGGTATTATATTTTGTATGTTTACTTCCTGCACAAGCCCTGAAGTGCAGGACCTGTTCTTATAAAATCTTATAAATATTGTGATTTGGGTTGAAATAACTATGGAAATGCAGTTTTCCAAAATACGAAATATACGTAACAAATACACCATGTTTGCATTTGGGTTTTAAATGTGACATGAACAATGGTCTCCTGAACGTCTGGGGTTTTCGGACCATCCACCCTGACTTCCTCCCTTATTCAAACTACGTCACCTAGCATGAATCACGACTACGTTGGTCACTGTTACGTTCCCTTCTAAATCTAGGGGGTACAAAGGGAAGTAATAACACACAAGGATGACCAAGCACGACAAAAAGGGAGAGAAACCGATCTCTGAGTACGAACAAGTCGTTTAATGATCAAACAGGAACACGGCGCACCAGCCAACTTGCAAAACAACTCTAGCTACAAATATATATACTGGAGACATGGACACCACGCTGCACACATCCAGCCCGGGGAGAAGGGGGAGAGCGCCAGCAACCTTCCTCCTGTCCTATATGGAGGCCCTGATTGAGGATTGGGAGCACCTGGGGAGAGGCTGCACCTGGGGACAATCAGGCTGCACCTGGGGAGTCAGAGGGAGAGAGAGAAAAACACACACACGACCACACAAACACTATGGCACGTAACAGTCACATACATATTGTAGTGCATTACTTTTGTGTGTAAAGTGAATTTTAATCTCTGCCCTGCTTCTGGTTTCCATACCTGGCAGCGGGGAGGTCATGGACCCCTCTTCTCCACTGGAGCTGAAGAACACATCTAAGGCCTCCTGGTCCGAGACGTCGATCAGCTCCATCTGATCCATCATGTCCACGTTCACCTCTATGGATGAGATGCTGCCAATCGGAGCTGCAGGGGAAGGGGAGGCAATGAAATAATCTGTATGAACATTAATTGTGGAGCCATGGAGAAGCCAGCAGTCTAACTCACGTCTCTTAAAGTCTCGGATACACAGGTGTGCCGAGGACAGGTAGACGTCCGCATCGTGCTGGAAGACCTCCTCGAAGAAACGCTGCCTCTCTCTTAACTTGAGCTGCTGTGCTGCGTCCACATCTGGGAGCCTTTGGCCTCGCTCGGTCTCAGCTGGAATCACAACATGGAGGACAGGAAGTTAGCAAGACATAAGTTCAGGTAAAGTTTTGTAACTGATACCTGGAAATTGGAGGCTGAAAGGCAAGTTAGTCAACATTTCAATCTAATGAGTATGGGCGACCGATTAGAGGCTCTGGACCAATGTTTTGAATGAGATGAAGAGGAGATTGAACCAGAAATAGAGGATGATGTCTCAGAAATGGAAGACAACAGCGATCCAGACTATGAGCCTGACCAACAGTCAACAGACCAGGGAGAGGCCCCCTGAGGGAGAGGAGCCCTGAATATTCATTTTTCTCTAAATGGTCGTTGAGGAAAACAGTATCAGTGTCTTATTTTATATTCATCACAGTGAATGCAGTGAATGCTGAACTTGATGGGCCCACCGGTGGGTCCGGACCATATACTTTAGTTGAAAGTACACAATGAGACACTGACTTGCTTGTATTAAATCAATACATCCCATACATCATTGGAACGGGAAGAATCTCAGCTACAACACTAACTAAAGCATTTCCATCTCCAGTAAACACAGCCTACATGGCAAGTTTTTTATATAATATACACTAATGTACAGTAAGCACTGTCTTTGAACTTACTGCAAAATTATAACATGAAATTCACCCCTTGTGTCATTCTGTCTGTCACCCCTTGATTCTACTTGCTTTGACTGTTCAAATGAGATGTCAACCATCAAAATTGTATAAGGGGTTCCAGAGATATCACTGCAAAACACACCGGTCAATTTTGACCGAAAATAGTATGGGAAGGGGGGTATGACCTAACGCAAGAGAAGGGTTAAGCCAATGATCAGTACAATGAAACATATTAAGAATTATATGTTTCAACACTGTTTAGAAAACACATTAAGAAATCCCTACTACCAAAAGAGCAACTATAAATGTTCAATTGTGCTGCAACTATAGGGGTTATTCTGCTGGTTATTTTCCCTAATTAGAAATGGTTTGGTCTGTTGTTAAATTCCCTAAGTGTTATATATCTAAATGCTTTTTTTTGTTGTCAAATCAACAGTTCAAAACACAAAGATCTACCAAAATACAAATTATTATATACCAGAGAATGGCTGCCAATGGCCTCACTGGATCTTCCTGGAACCAGTAAACATTTGGCATTCTTGCAAAACATTTTGTGGCTTTACAATCAAAAGTCTAATAGTAGCTAGATGTAATGTTATGTCAATTGACTGACAGATTAATCAATAATGTTTTTAGCTTGAATGTGAAAGTAGATATTTCCTCTAGACTCCCAGATGTGCAAACTAAGCCTATATCAGCAAAACTAGGGGCTGAATCTAATCAGCCCTAACTATAAGCTTTATCAAAAAGGAAGGTCTTAAGCGCACTCTTAAAAACGGATAGGGTGTCTGCCGCCCGAACACAAACTGGAAGCTGATTCCACAAATGTGGAGCTTGATAAGAAAAGGCTCTGGCTCCCATTGTACTTTTAGAGACTCTAGGAACAACCAACAACCCTGCATTCTTGGAACGCAATGCCCTAGTGGGACAGTAGGGTATAATGAGTTATTTAAGGTAAGATGGCGATTCAGATTGTATACATCTGTACTGAACAAATGCTAACCTTATTTCTTAGAGTATTAACACTATTTCAATTCACAAACATATACAAACGTCACTTAACCCTGAAGGTGAGACAGGGAGGGAGTTTAAATCTGCTGCAAAAAAAAAGGGACAGGGAACAAGAGACAGAAAGGGAGGAAGGATGGAGGGAGGGGGGTGTAGCAAAAATAACAAAGGCATGTGCCTGATGTTTCTCCTTGGTACTTCCCACTCCGTTACATAAAATCCCTCCTTCCCTCTTCTTAATCCCTTCCTCTGCTCCTCCCTCCTCCCTGTCATTGGTCAGCTGGTCGGCTCCACAAAGCCCTGAACTTGTCTCCCCTCCTCTGAGTGGCTCAGAGTCCACTGAGGAGAGAGAGGAAGCAGAGCAACGTTGGCAGCAGCATCAGTCACCTTGGAGCAGAAGAGGAGGAGATGATCGGCAGCATCCTGATCCTCTCTGAGTGATTATCTGTCCTGCGACTCTCCGGCATCATGAGCTCCTCCTCAGCAAACCTCCACAACAAACGCCTGCCCTGTGAGTCATTTCCTAAACTTATGAACCTTTCTGCAGAAACATGTCTTTAATTGCAGAGGGATATGTACAAGTTTGCTCCAATAACACCGTTTTATGTTATGTGTTATCTCTTTATGTGGAGCAGGACCTTAGAGAGGACAACATGATTTTCCATTATTCGTTGTCAGAGCAAAGATTGAGCATTTAAGGCAAGAAAACAGAAAATACAATTTCCACTGTTTATCTACTTCATGCAGCATCTTTTGACATGTCATAAATCCTTTTTATTATATAAAATCTGTTTATTTAGGGTGTGTGTTAAATGATGTCAAAGTTATGTCAAGCAAGTTGCTTTGCTTAATCTATTTATCAATGACACTGAATTGTTTCACTGCTCCATAAGCCTCCTAATGGCCTCATATTTTAGTGTGTGTATTTGTGTGTGTGTGTGTGTGTGTGTGTGTGTCAGATATAATATAGAAGTCAGTCCATTAAGTAGCTGCCTTCATGTTGATGTTGCCTGAAGTGAACGGTCCAAGTTCTGAGTCAGCCAAAAATCGGACAGGAATGTTGAATCATCACGCTGAGTAACGTCCACTAATACCAAGGGAATAGGACACACTCGCTTTGAGCAAAAACAGTGATGCATTCCCACACGCACGCACAGGTTTGGATTAGGGCCAGTGCAGGGTTTCAGACAAAGATTTCTTATTTCTAATGGGATTGTGCTGCAGATCTCATCAGTCGACTGACTGACTGTAGCTTTTCACACACACACACACACACACACACACACACACACACACACACACACACACACACACACACACACACACACACACACACACACACACACACACACACACACACACACACACACACACACACACACAGAGCCCTGACATTTCATTAGTCCCAGTAAGATCACTCTATGGTTTCACAGGGATCAGACGGCTGTGGATCTTGAAGACGCCTCCCATCTGTTGCTCTGCCCATGGCTTCTGTCATGTTCTGATTGTTGTGGGAATGAGCCAGAGAGCATCACGTTGCTGTACTGTGGAGGGAAGGAGCCAGCCAGCTGTCCATAGCATGTTACAGACAGCTGGGTATTGGGTGGAAACGTTTCTATTCTCCACGTTTTTCTAAACTCGCTCCCCTTGGACGTGACCCAGATACAACTGAAGAGTAGATTCTGTTCAATGATCGAATTAGAGAGGATATATTAGGATAGTATACGTATTGATCCCTATTTGGGAAATGTTTGTGTTGCAGCAGCATAAAAGACATGGCATTGTACAATAAGGTAAAAGTCAATATCATGTACTGTGTGTATCTTCGTCCAGTGATGGAGCTCAAAGGGTAAAACAAAGAAATTAGCACTTAAAGAGTATAGTCCATTTTAAATTAATGCACCACTTACAATGGCTTTATTGCACGTATTGTAATTCGCCTTGGATAAGCCTCAGTTAAATAAAATGTAATGGTATTTTTCAACCTGGACCCTATTTTCACATGTTTTTATGTATGTTAGCCGGAAAGAGTTTGAAGTGTTGTTGTTAAGAAATCTTTGTGCTATCTTAAATATATTCAATGTCTTGGTTGAATATGAAGCGGATGCGACACAAGATTTCAGAGCAAGATTTTCCTTTAGCTAAACTTGGTAAAACACAGTTACAAACCGGTGCAAGTGAGTTAGTTTCCTTTTTTATAATGTTATCAGACACTGATAATGATAACAATATGAGCCAGTGGCAAAAACATGTGCTTTCAGCAGATTGATGTTGCCCCAACAGGATTACAGCCAGTTAGACACAAACAAGGAGGATTGAGCGGGATGTATAGGCAGAAATGGAATATAATAGTTATAACTTTGATTTCATTTGTGTATAATTACTTGAAACTGAGAACCTTTTATATCTTCATGGAGGGCGGTTCTTCTTCATGAAGTATGGCCTGTTGTCCTTCTACAGTAGCCCAAAACGGACAAACCAAATTCTTGCACTCGAGAGGGTATTTTGCCTCTAATTGCAATTGGATTACAGTTTGTAAATACTGGCACTGAGATACTACCATAAAGGTTGTTCTCTGAGTAAATATAAATGTCTTACTTTAGCAATCCAGTCGCTGTTTTTGTAAGGAAGTATTTAAACTCTATTATGCTCTTTTTAGAAGCACTTGTAAACTATCAGGATAACTGTTGTCCAGTGTAAAGAAGGACAGCAAGGCGAAAATGCACATATTAGTCCTACGTAAGCAAGGCCTTGTGTTAGCACTTCAAAGTAATTATGTGTGTGTTTGTGTGTGATTACACTAAACAGTGTTGCGTGGACGGATGAATAAGATTCCCATCAATTCAACAGTCTGAGCTGAGAAGCCCCGGGGACACAGACCAGCTCCGCTCATTAGTTCTCTAACAAACCAATCTACTTGCTGTTGAGCTGAATCCTCTGTGTGAGACAATGCGAACGCCTCCAGGCGTATATAGAGAGACGGCAGCAATTTATCACCTGAACACTCTTCCAAAAAGATACACCGTGTAGCGCCAATGTAGCACAGATTCACCTAATCTATGTAATGTCTTGTCTTTTATCTGGACCCTGAGTCTGTAATAAAGTTTTCATTCATTCACCTGTTTGGCCTGTGAGTGATTTGGAGTTGGAGAAGAAAGGAGGAGACATATTATTCCTCTGACTTTAAAAAGATAAATAAGGCAATAATTAAAGTCCTCTACAGTCAAAGATTATCTATGAAAATTAAATCAGTTCTAATCAAGCTACAAACTCCAAGTCTAGTGTCCAAAAGAGGAGGACTCCACTGTTTTAAAAAGTAAGTCTGATTGCGTAGAGTTGATTATTTCTTTAAGTTGTGAAACTCAAACTACTTATAAATTGATTTCTAACCTCAGTTAACAGTTTCCTAATGAGTTTATGTTTTTAATCACTTAAAGTCTTAATATGTTATGATGTTCATTTTGTACAATATGCGCACATTTATATTAAAAAGTAAATAAAACAGGATGGAGGCGTGTGGCACAGTGGTTAGTGCGTTGGTGTTCGGATCAGGGTGGCACAGGTTCAAACCCCACTGCAGCCAGCATGTCGTTGTGTCCCTGAGACACTTCACCCCAAATTGCTCCTGTGGGGATTCACCACAGTACTGTATGTAAGTCTCTTTGGATAAAAGCGTCTAACAAGTGACATATAATGTAATGTGGTTTAGGGCTTTGCTACTTTGTGATTGACAAGTTGCCACCATAGCATTGTTAAGCATTAAAACAATCGAAGGAGTTTGCTGTTAATTGTACCTGTAGATTCATTGTGTTTCAAGAAAGCACTTTGCTGACTGAGCTAGCTAGCACTAGACTAGAGTTAGCTAGCACTAGACTAGAGTTAGCTGCTAACGGTACCTGGCACTGTCGGGCCTCGTCTTGCGCAGCTCCACTCTCATGTCCTAATATGACCACCTCTGACTCTAAATTAAAACAACAAGAGGCTGTGGCAAAATGCTACATCTGAGGCCTCAAAACACTGGAACCCAAACAAATGGGTGACTACGTCCACCTATTTACCGTTAATGTGTTTATAGGAGTTGAATAAGCAAAAGCACAAAGTCAGAGCTATTCTTATGGTTACTAAATGCAAGTAAAAAAAGGATAGTTCTGCTGTCCAATGGTTTGAATACTATAATCTTATATTTCACACAAATATTTGTAAACAGTGATAATGCTATTAAGTAATAGTTTAATCTTTCTGACCGGTCAGTACTGGAAGAAAATGTGCCTTCTATAGCCGCCGGTATTTGCACGCTGCCTCTGTTCAGCCTCAACAAACAGACTGTCTGAGACGCTGTGTTTAGTTTAGACAAACATTCCTACAGTTCTCCCAGCTGAAATCAAAATAGCTTTAAACCTCCCTCAGAAACACGGGGAGAGGCAGCTGGTCCCGGGAAGGAAAGAGAGCTGAGTGAATGTTGAAGTGATTGCAATGAGAGACGTCAGCACTGTATGAAGTTAACCTTTACCAAACTATTTAATGTTTCAGGTTTGATTACTGATATAATTAACACTGTCAGTGTAATTTGTTGGCAGCCGCTCCACATGCACCATTTGCACCCTGAGCACTATTACATTAAAGTCTATTAAAAGGTCTTTACCCAGGTGCGTTTCAATCAACTTAAGTTAAAAACCGAAACATTGGAAAATTCTTGAAATATCCAAATGTAGCCTAAGTATAGTAAGTGTAAGTGCTAAATGTTAAAAACTGCAATGGAAAGGCATTGAGCTCTTATGATCTACTCGACAAGAAATAGTAAATACCAACCCAGTCTCACGGCATTTCGTGTTCACCAACACGATTTTTAATCTATTGATTTGTGTTCACCAACACGATTTGCCCCTTTTTTTCGTGTTGAAACCCCCGTATTAAACCCCCGCGAGCGGCTCTGCGCCCGCGAGCGGCTCTGCGCCCGCGAGCGGCTCTGCGCTCGCTCGCGAGAGAGACAGCCCTCTTGCTTGCCTCGCGGAGTCTGTCTACGTGCGCGTGAAAAGTTTCTGGCACTTTGGGGCGGAGCCACTGGACTTTGATTGACAGCTGCCAGGAAACCCGGGGTTGCCAGGTTTGATAAATGCCTGAACTGCCAAGAGCCGAGCAGTGACGGCAGCAAAATCAGTTGGACGAGATTGAATGGTAAAGTTGTCCATAAAAAACTATTATATTCGTAAAGTGTAAAGCTAATATATATATATATATATTATTCTGTTTTCTTCAAGGTTGTGTCTTCCTGGTCGAATGTACTTATTGTAAGTCGCTTTGGATACAAGCGTCAGCTAAATGCAATGTAATATAATGTAATATACATTAATTTGATATAAAACAATATATTTTTCAGTGGGCTGTGTCCGTCGAAAACTGCTAGCTACTGTCTGCTGTACGCACTTAGATTTTGCTGCCGTCACTGCTCGGCTCTTGGTAGTTCAGG